TCTCTCTCTCTCTCTCTCTCTCTCTCTCTCTCTCTCTCTCTCTCTCTCTCTCTCTCTCTCTCTCTCTCTCTTTCTTTTTCTTTTTCTTTTTCTTTCTCCCCCCGCCCCCTTCATTGCCACGCCGTTTTTCTTTTTGTTCGTTTGTTTTCTTTTTGCTTTACGATATAGCAGTCTCTTTTTTCCTTTGTTTCTTTTTTTTGCGAGGCCTGAGGCCTCGACGAGCCCTATTGGGCCCTGTTTCCAGCATCCCAGGCCGCCCTAAGTGAAGGTGGGCCTGTTCAGCTATGAGAGGCCTATTTTGCCTTTGTTGCAACTGGGGGAAATTCAGGTAGTTACGCAACGTCAGTTGGTTGGTTGAGCCCAGGTCCTGCCTCTGCTTTATCCGTATGAATCGGAGGCAGGCCCTGGGCCAGACACGGGGCAAGAACTGAAGAATGGCCGCCGGGCAGTTGGATACGTGTAACCACCCCAGGCCCTGTGTGAGTTTCCTGGGACAGGGCCTCAGCGACTTGGGCCCTCGAGTGGCAGCCAGTTTCCATAAAGGAAAGAGCCTGGCTGCTGGCTGGACATTCGGGCACTTGCTGCTTATGCGCAAGCGCTGCTGCGCTAGCTGCTGAAGCGAGTGCCTAAGCACGCACGGGCGAGCAGGGAAGAAGCAGGCAGCCATAGCCGAGCTGGCCTGCGCATTGCTGGATGGAGCACATGGTGGTCTTCGGGTGCATGTGGCATCTGTGTGGAGGATCGAGGTTGTGAGTGAAGCGAGGGACATACCTGGTGCTTGATGCGAACAGCATTGGCCGATATCTGCTCGTACTTTGGGAAGTTTGACGTCACCAGCGGCATCGTAGATAGGCTAGATAGGATCTGCCATTTGTAGTCTGGGCGCTGAGCCCCAGATAGGGATTCGTCATTGGTTTATTGTTGATGATGATGAGACTATTCCAACATTGTCACTTGTGAGCTTTTGCTGAGCTCTTATTTGGTGGAACTTGAGTTGCAATTCTGCTTTTGGTTCGAGGTCAAGACTATCTGGTTTCATGTGTATGATGCTGCTTGGTTTCTGGAATTCGCTATCGCTCATTTTCCTTGCTTTTTTTCCATTCCGGTTTTTCAGGGGAATACTGGTCGTTCACTGCTAGGTACCCCGTCCGACGGGGCGAGTTAACAGCCGCGTCGGAAATAAATAGCTGGGTGAGGTACTGGTGGTTTAAGGTACTGGTGGTTTAAGGTTAGTAGGGTAATGGGTCTGTAGTTTTTGATGTCCCTAGGATCCCCCTTCTTATAGAGCAGGGTAGATGGTTCCACTCCCAGTCCTTTCCTCTGCCAAGCTGCGGTAAGAGAATTTCCATATTTGGCCAGCAATTTTTGTTAATCTGTCCTTTCCTGGGGTCTTGTTTGGTTTCATTGCCTTCAATACCTCACAAAGCTCGTCCTGGGACAATGGCACGTCCAATTTGGCTGCTGTTCAGGATTGATATTGCGGTTGAGGTATGATAAGAACTTAGCTCTAACATTTGCTCTCAGGTCTTCTGGTGTTTCATACTCCCTTGATGTGTACATTTTTTTGTAGACGGAATAGGCCATCTCTACCATACCCTGTGTGTCAGCAGTGGTCTCCCTATCCCCTTCCAATTCCGTCGACTTCAATTTTTTGAAAGAGAAACTTTGTCATTCTCTCTCCCTCTTCCCATTCCCTTCCTGTCTCCCTCATCTGCAGGGCCTTGCATCTACACCTTTCCAATTCCCTCAGTCCCGCTCTTGATATGTTTAGTGCATTCTCATAGGTTTCATCCCTTTCCAATCACTGGGTTTAGTGAATTCATATCCCTGCAGGAAACCGCTTGGTTGGGCTCTTTGTAAGTTTGTACGTACTTATGGCGTGCAACCATTTGGCTGTGAAGTGCATTGGCCCATCCAGTTCATGGTTCTGTTTTTTAGTTTTGGTCTGCATTATATTCCGGGTGGTTGACCTGGTGTGGGTCATGGTTTCTTGTCTCCTGGTGCCTGTTGAATGGCAGGCTCGTTAATACAGGGCAGAAAGCAACAATGGGAGCTTCAGTTGATCAGGGGGAGGTTAAAAGGGGGCATATAGGTGGTGGTCCCATCTCAGTCTCCAGTATCTACTATGTGATTGCTGTTTTGCTTGCATTACCTTAAGGATCCGCTGCGAGTCTTGCACACATTGCTGCCACATTTATCCTGAAGGTGATCAGATTTGGTGACCTTCTAACGGGATTAGTGCGCTCATCAAGGTTGTCTCCACGTAAGTGATTTCAACTCAATACAACTGGCTGGTGACACCCCACTCTTGTGCCGTCTTCTCCTCTTACCCTGACACCCAATACAAAATGCAGCTGGCTGTGGACGATGGACGCCCTAATGTTGTCTCATGTACTCCACCTTCCTCCATTCTACCCTTATCCAGGCCATCATGCAAACCCTGCCCATTCTTCTGTCTTTTCTCACTGAACCCTACTGCATTAGCTTGATATCTTAGACCTCTCTGCAAAGGTGATCTTTCCCATCCGGGTCGAAAAGGTCTCCAGCGGAGTCTGATGCGTGATCGGCAATGCAAGTCCAAAGGTCATCAACATGAGGAAGAAATGTAAACTGACAGAGCGGAAGACTGACAACAATTCAGCCAGATGACAATGTGGCGCATATCTCATCTCACTCATATGCGGGGAGGGGTCCATGCATAGAGCACCTCCCCGCTGAATCAACCATAGATGAAAGAGATCGAGGAAGGTGGAAGAAGAAGCAGCAGCAGCAGAAGCAGCAGAAGCAGCAGAAGAAGAACCAATGTAAGGCAGCACCAAATAATAACAGTCTCGCCTCCACCTCTCACGGCCCTCAACCTGCAAACAGCCTCCGATGAATGAATCTCAGATCTCTAACAGGGGCCTGACACCCGGTAGCACCAATGTCAAGCCTCCAGTCTCTCACTCTCTCTCTCTGTCAAGAGGAAGAAGAAGGAGAGATGGAGGATCTGAAGAAGACATCTGGACGTCTCTCTCTCTCTCTCTCTCTCATATGGAACTGATAATGACCGGTGAAAGGCAGAGCCTTGAGTCACTGGTGCACTGTTGGAACCTCGAAGAAGATGAAGACCAGCCATGGCTGGTGGCGAACCTCCATGGACATGGCGCCAGGTGAGTGGACTCCTCCAGCTCATCTCTTGCCGCCCAAGCTCCATCTGCACTGTCCTGTTCTCCTCGGGCGCTGCTCCTCTACCTGTAGCAGCACTGGGTTGCTCAAGTGGGCAGCCTGGTGGTACATGAACGAAGTGAGAACTGCTCCTAAATAGTGGTGGGTTGGCCTACAACCCAAGCCGACGTCCATCTGGGCTGTCCGGTCAACAGAAAGGTAGGCATTCCAGATGTGAGGTCGTGTGGCCCAAAACATCTTAGACCCAGCCCTAGAACATGTGGCAACTCCATGCTGGTCGAGGCCCTACCACGCTGCATCAGCAGCGGGCCCTGAAAGAAAAATGGCCTGACTCAAAAAATCAAATCCTGGCCCAGGACAATTTAATACTGGCTGAGAACAGGAACCGTCTGACGTCTGGACTTAGAACAAATATACATTTATACATAGATATTATTTTATTTTGAAGAAATTAAAGAAATAATTTAGTATTATTTTTTGTAGATTCTTTTATAAACATCATTTTATGTAAATATCGTAGGCTAGTATGCTTAGTGTGTGACTTGTTTTAATTGAACGTTTTAACTAATTGAATTAGCGGGCTAGTTCAGGTCGTGGGTTTGATACCCAACGCCATCCTTTCGATCCCCGTGGCCTCCTGGGGGTATGCTTCAGATTCACCGGCGGAGACTGTTGGCTTGGGCCTCCTAGCTGGTTGTGGAATTGGTTCTTCCCAGCCCGCACCGGGTGCTAGGAGCTTGGGTGTTGCTTCCCACACAGAGCAGAGATAGGCGTAGACCCATAACCATAGGATAGCTTAATCCTACGGCGTAGACCCATAACCATAGGATAGCTTAGTCCTACAGTGTAGGTAGACCCATAACCATAGGATAGCTTAGTCCTACTCAATTTAAGCTTCATCCTGGTTTCCATAGGGAGGTGGCGCCGCTGAAGGTCTGTTGCTAGCTTGGTAGGGCTGTTGCTAGTTTGGTGGGGCCTGTGGGTGAGGTGTATATATGGGTAGCTAGAGTGACGTGAGAGAGAAGAAGATAGGGTAGGTAAATATACAACTGTTCCCAGTATGACGAGAAGACAACTGTATTTTTCTACAACACAAAAAAAGAACTTACAAAAGTGCATCACACCTGCCTGGACTCTAAACAAAGAGAACTGAGCTGACAACAGACAAAAACACACATGCCCTTGATCAGATAAAGTACTCACACGCCTGCCGAGAATCAAAGCAAAGCAAGCTAGGCTGAGGACGGACAAGGACAAACGCCTGGACTCAGAACAGACAAAATGCTGACACTCCGGCCTGAAATCAAAAGCAATCAAACTGGGCTCAGGGCAGATGCATGTACCTGGACTCAGAACAGACAAAAGTTGACACGCCTTCCCTGAAGTCAAAAGCAAGCAACCAGGCTGAGGGTAGATGCACCTACCTGGACTCAGCAAGACCAAAACACTCACACCAGCTCGAAATCAAAAGGGAGGCCCTATCTACCATGACGGGCCTAAAGAGGCTCGTTTTAGAAGGCTGTAAGCATCCTATAGGGTCTCTGGGCCTGGCATGGTCATGGGCGTGGTTGAATGCAGCATGTCTCGATGCGTAAGCAGTATTGCAAACACCTCCTCCTTCCTACTAAGATGATAATGGAAGCCAATGCTGCTGTTGCTGATGATGATGGGTGATGATGACATCAATGTTGATGTAGATCGTGGTGTTGACCTAGATGGTGATAACAGTTGGTTGTGGTCATATAAATTGCAGTGACAACAAAGTGAAACGTGACAACAATGATGAAGATGAAGATGCCCAATTTTCGTTCGTGGATGATGTGGTAATGGCAATTTTGAAAATGGTGGTTGGTGCCAGCTCTGGCACCAGTTTAGCAAGCACTGGGTCCAAGGGGGAAGAAGGGTGAGAAGGTTTACAGGAACTCACTAGGACAGTGAAGTGATGCTCTGAGAAGAGGACCAGCAGCAAACCCACTATTATGCTCACACAATGTCTGAATCAGAGCAGATCACAACATGTCAACATGTCAAAAGTGAATGTGTGAGGCCGGTGCTGGGTAGCAGCCGGTGGCTAGGCTGGTCATCAGGAGATGTCTAGAGTAAGGGCGTACGTACACTAGCACTGTCTTAAATGTATCTGACCGCATTTACGGCTGGATCTGTATGCATCTGGCCGCAATTTCGTCCAGAAATAAGGTACAAAATGCTAGTGTGAGTATGCTCTAAGCCAGTAGTGGAATGGGCCCAATGGGGGTCTCAGAAGAAAATGTCCAAGGGAGAAAGGTAAAATGTTCTGGTACCAAGGGCATGCCAGGAAACTACATGTCCAGAACCGAGCAAGAGGTCCACGGATCAAGTCCTGGCCAGAACCGTAATGACGGACATCCTGCATGGATCTCTGCAATGAGAATCACCCCTCCCTTACTACCCTGTCACTCCCCCTGCCCCACAGTTCATCCTTGCACACTTGTCCTCTACTATGTGTATCTATACACATGTTCCTGTTTGCGATCTGGTAAGAGTTCCATATTGTGGTTCATGAAGTTGGTCCATTGACTGTCTTATGACTCTGAATGCAACTGCTGCTGTGCTAAACTGGACTTGCTTTTTGTGGTGGGATGTTGTCCTTAGGAGATGAGGTTACTAAAGGAATCCGCAATCTATGCAGCAGCAAATTTTCCAGGAAGTGAGGAAGGGGAGACGGTACTTAGGAGGGTTAGGACCTTACCCTCACAGCCAGATGCCCAAAGTAAGTGCACCCTGATCATGAAGAAGAAGCTGTAACCAAGGCAACACAGGACATACATATCTTATCTTATCTTATCTTATCTTATATAATAGACTTAATAGTGCATATCTTATCTTATCTTATATTATATAATAGAGTTAATAGTACAAGTGGACCCGCCGCGGCACAGCCGCAGAGAGGTCCAACAGCCAATCAAATCGAAAACAAACGGAAAAATTGGCAAAGCACATGGAAAATCGAAGCGCTGTCTGGAAAGCAAATGTGAAGCAAAGCAAAAGACACAGAAGATCGAAGTTCCACTTGTAATGCAGCTCTTCTCTATCCCCTGTCCTCCCTTTCCTCCCTCCTCTGTTTGCTCCTAGCATTCTTTCTGCTTGCTTGCTTTTGGTCCCTCCTACCATTCTCAACCAAGTATAACGGTCGGTTATTATCACTGCATCGAGCTGAAAGTTGGCCGAATACAGTTCTAACGACGGGGTGTTCTTTTCAGGTGAAGACGGTACTCACCATACATCCGTCCATGTTCCAAAATATGAGATGGTTTTCCAAATAACTGATCGATACAGATACTAGCCAAAAGGGCAAGAAAGGTATAATGACACTAACTACACCAAAAAACAATAGGATTACTAATGTCTTCACCTGAATAGAAGGCCCAGTCATTACATCCACATATGGTGCGACTTTGAGTCCAAATACAGCAATACTGACAGGACATTCTGTTTGTGTGAAGGCGGTAGTTTCACCGGCTCATGTGACTCTTTTCTTTGGCAAAGTGTGAAAATCGTTAAGGCTCTTTCCTGTTGGTAAACAGGTCACGAGTTCGAACTCTGATAGAATAAAATGAAAGCCGTTTTTGCTGTTGGCATTGCTACAGGTTTTAGATCTGTGTCCCTTGTTCACCAATTTCAAGACCATTAATCAATCTCCCCCTACTTCCTCCCTCCCTTCCTCCTTCCTCCCTCCCTCCTCCCTCTCTCCTCCCTCCCTCCTCCCTCCTCCCTCCTCCCTCCTCCCTCCTTCCTCCTCCCTTTTCCTTCCCTCCCTCCCTCCCTCCCTCCCTCATCTAACCATCCATTCCAATCCATCCATGCATTTCCCGATCTCTACTTCATTCAAAGATTTTAGATCTGTAGTCCCTATTCACCGATTTCACGAGAATTCCTCCCTCTCCTCCCTCCTCCCTTTCTCCCTCCCTCCCTCCTTCCCTTCCTCATCTAACCATCCATTCCGTTCCATCCATGCATCTCCTGATCTCTACTTCATTCACACCTCCCTCCCACCCTCCTTTCCTTCCTTCTTCCCTCCCTTCCTCCCTCTCTCCTTTCCTCCTCTTCCTCCTGCCTCCTTCCCTCTTTCCCTCCTCTCCTCCCTGTCTCCCTCCCTCCCTTCCTCCTCCCTATTCACACTCGCTCCCTACTCACACTTCCTTGCCTCCCGTCCTCCGTGCGCATACCTGACAAAAAATCAATCAAGAAAGATCAGGTGGACCGACCGTTTCCCCCCAAATCGAACGGGCATCGGAGGGTCATTATCACTGTTTGTAGACTGAAAGTTGCCTCAAATACGGCTATACAATGACCGTATGTTTTATTCGGGGGAAGACGGTAGCGCAAATGTTCACTGATTAGCGTGATGATGGGCTCATCGTTATGCTAATGATGATAAGGAGTGAGAGGTTCAGCGGGTGCGTGGATCCAAAACATTGTGATACCATTCAGGGGGAAAAAAAAGGCCGGTTCCTGTCCTGTGGATGATGAACAGCTCCTCCTTAAAAATAAGAAAAAAAGGAAAAAGAAAACAGTGGTCCCCTCTCATGTGGAGAAGATGAACATTCATTCATTATCAACGTTGGATATTCATTGAACCTTCATCCAGTGCGACTGACGTGTCACGTTTGTCATGAATATTGCAATCAGGGCAAGGATAAATATTGTGTGGCACATAATCCTTCTCCAACACGTCAAGGCGGGCATAAAGGCTCTTGAGAGTCTCCTCATACTCGGCAATGGTATGTGCCTGCCGAGCCAGCTCCACTTGTTGCCAATTACAAGTGAGGATGACTTGGTGCATCATGTTGGCGAGGGCTGACTTGGTCTGCTCCTCCGCAGTTGGTTCCGTCGTCTCCGCCGGATCAACATTCCATGCTTGGAGTGCGGCGGTATGAGCGGCTTCCTGCTGCATGAGGACAGATGCGGCATCTTTTCGAGCTTTCTTATGGTTGGCAGCTGCTTCAGCGTGCTGCCGGCGCCGTTGCTCCGCGTCGCGTGCAATGGCGTTCAGGCGTGCCGTTTCGGCTGCCGCCTCGCGTTACTGTTCTTCTCGTACTTGTTGCATGTAGGTGCCCAGGCGGGCCAGGAAGACCATCATGGTCTCTCCTTGCTGTCGGACTGGCGCAGCATCGAGGGCTCCTGCAGGTGTCGCAGTGGAACCCACCTGCTGGACCTGTGGGACCAGGGGGCTCGAGCTGCACGCCTCGTGTGGACTGCCAGATGCAGCATTGTCCACTGTGGGGTTGCCCTGGTCGTCCATTGCAGAGGCGTGGGCCAGGGGTAGCTGCTGTTCTGCTGCGGCTGCCTGCCCTTCACTTGCTGCGATGCGTTTGCTGCGTCGGAGCATAAGCTGCAGTTAGCTGTAAGGTGTCGGCTGACGAGGTACTGCTGACGTGGCCCTACTGCTGTCGTGGCACTGCTGCTGACGTGGCACTTACCAAAACGGGAATGCAGGCAAAAGGGTTGGGTGGGAGGGAACATGCAGGAAGGTAACCAACCAAATTGTACGGGTTGGGTGGGAGGGAACACGCAGGAAGGTAACCAACCAAACTGTACTTTCCTCCTGGTCCTAATCAACAGAAAAAAAAAAAAAAAAAAAAAACAACAACAACAACCGAAGAGGATCACCCAATAGCGAACTTCAGCAATCAAACAGCATCATACACATGAGACCAGATAGTCGTGACCTCGAAACAAAAGCACAATCACATCACGAGTTTCACCAAATAAGAGCACACCAAAAGCTCATAATTGACAATGCGGGAATAGTCTCATCACCATCATTAATGAAGAACCAATGTTGTTATCCTATCTGGCGCTCGGCGCCCAGACTACAGATGGCAGATCCTATCTAGCCTACTCTACAATGCCGCTGATGACGTCAACAGCTCCCCGAAGTACGAGCAGATCTCGGACAATGCCGCATGCTTCAAGCACCAGGTATGTCTCTCGTATCACTCACAACCTCGTTCCCCAACTCACAGATGCCACTTGCACCCAAGGACCACCATGCGCCCCATCCGGCGTACAGCAGCGCAGCTCGGCTATGGCTGCCTGCTCCTTCCAGCTCGCCCATGAGCGTGTGAGCCTGGCAGGCGATAGCGCAGCAGCGCTTGCACACAAAGCAGCCAGTGCCCGAATGTCCAATGTGGAGGCAGGCCCTTCCCTGTATCGAAGTGGCCTGCTGCTGCGTGCAGTCGTGAGGTACTGGGCCCTGGCCCAGAAGCTTACGGTAGAATCCACGAGGCTGAGCCTCCATCCAAGGAAAACAGGCCCAGGGCCTGTGGTGGTTACTAGTGCCCAACTGCCCGCAGCCTGAGTTGTGTCCATGCTGCAAATCTCGCCCAGGGCCTGACTCGGATGCATTTGATGAAGAAGTTCAGGGCCTGGGCACGTCCAACCAACTGGCGCTGCGCAACTGCCCGAATTTTTCCCTGTTGCGTAGTAGTCCAAAATAGGCCTCTTGGGGTCGGTCGAGCCTTCCTTCACTTAGGGCGGCCGATGTTGTTGCGAATAGGGGCCCAGTAGGGCTTATCGAGGCCTTGTGCCTCACATTCCCTCCTCCATACTTTGCTAGTCCTCTGAGAAGTTCAGTCTTCGATAATCTGGCGCTTTCCTTTCTGCAGATACTTCTCATAGTGAGCGACTACCTGTGGAGCGGTCTGCATCAGTTCCTCCCTTGTGAACCATCTGTCCTCCTTTGGATCAGTGTGATGTCTGAACCGAACTCGATACTGCAGCTTCGGTTTCGGAGGACGTCCTTTGCCTGTTGGTCTTGGAACTGGCATCTCCCTGTGGTCAACAATGTCGTCGATGTCGACCTTTCCATCCATGGTTGGGGGCAGCATTGAGTGACGAGAGGGAAATTGATCAGTTTCTCTGAACGGTGCAAGCTTTGAGGCGTGAAATACAGGGTAAGTGCGAAGGTGTCCTGGGATCCGGATGACATATGAGGGTCTGTCTGGGTCATCACCAACTACATCCAAAACTTCCCATGGTCCGAAGTACTGTGGCATGAGCTTGTGGGAAATCCCGTGCTCCTGTCCCAGTTCAGAGGCCTTGACCCAAACCCTGTCTCCTACCTGAAACGTAGATGGGTGGCGGTGCTTGTTCTCAGATTCGATCATCGCCGCCTGCACTTTGTGCATGTGTTCTACTGCCTGCTGCATATGCCTCTCATATCTGTAGGCGAATTCCAAAGTGCCTGGACTAGCAGCGGTCTGGTTCTTGGGTAGCAGAAAGTCAAGGGGAAGTCTGGGTGTGAATGTTAGACGCAGGCTGTTAAGGCTTACTCCTGTGGCACTATGAACAGCGTTGTTATACAGGCTGGCGATGAGAGCAAGCTTCTCATCCCAGTCCACTTGATTAGGCTTAATGTAGTGCCTGAGCAAGTGTTGAATGGCGCGGTTCATTTGCTCTGCCTGCCTGTCGCATACCCTAACGGCACAGACCAGACCAAGAACCGACCTTTCTCACAAGATACAAGATAGCACAACGGAAGGCTTAAATACCAATGATCAGCTCAATCAAGCTGCCATGCAGACCAAACATGCATCGTCATCATGCCATGGTGTGAAGGGGGCTGACGCTCACACAGGGAGAATGCGTCAGTCCCCAATCATGCACAGACGAAGAAGAGGTGGATTAGACAAAGGGGAGGGGGAAGATGGAAATGTCGTCAACACCAAGTCTTCGATACAGTCCCAAATAATCCCTCGCCAAAAGGTC